ATTATTTTAAATTTAATGCATTTTTTAAAATGAACTTACTACAGTAACTCTGTTGCTTTTTGTTAAACCTTCTTTCCAGCCCTGGCCCAACTCCACTTTTTCTCTATCCTATACTGATCATTATATAGCTTTGCCCCATGTTGTTTTCAGTGCTTTCTTCCTCTTATCTTTCTCGCCTTCTCTAGCCCTTTACACCCTTTCTATTTTCCCCTAAAGTGTGTGCTTTACTTCCTCCCCTATATTTTTTTGTTTCTCTTTCTGTTCCCCCTTAACCTCTCACTCCACCTTAGGTCTTGTAATTGAGAACTCTGAGTGCAGCAGTGAATCTGCAAAAATAGGTCAGTTTTATTCTGTTTCTTCAGTTTTTAAAAACTATGAACGACTGCAGAATCAGGCATTGTATCTCTTCACTGGGGAGTGAACCCAAAAATAGAGACGAGTGGTGACCCCCCCAAACACACAGCTAATCCATCCCATCCTACTCTCTATTTTTGGGTCCACCTCCCCCATCAAAGGCCATGGAGCCAATTCTACTATCACACATAGCTTTTAAAAGTTCCAGAAGCAGACTGTAAATTTCACTGTTGCCCAGAGTTCCTAATAGTGGGAGTGAAAACTGACAAGATTCCCCTTAGTTTTCACTCTGCTGTGTTTAACAAAGCTATAAATAACAGCAGAGACACAAACTATCTGTCTGAACATTTAGGAACAACAGACTGCATCAGTTTGCACTAGGTTCTCATTTGGAAAGTTATCTTTGCAATCACAGAGTATTAGAGGCTAAGGGTTCCTCCCCCCCCCAAAATTAAAGTTTCAGTTCTACAGAGGCTGATGGCACTTGCCCAGGAAAGTTTCTTGCTCTATTCACAACAGGGAGTGGATTTTTCCAAGACTTGTAAATGGCTAACATTTTTCTAACATGGTTGCTTTTAGAGATGGTTGGAGGCTAGATTCTCTACTGCAATCCCAGGTGGCTCAAAGATGCTAGAATCTGGTCATAACTGACTCTCTGAAAACTACCTCAGGAAAGGGGAGAGACTCTTAACTAGCATAAAGCCAGTTGAGCTGGCTACTGCGCCAAGCATCTCCTAATCAGGCTATATTCATCGGCATAGGTGTGCTCCATTAGGCTGCTCTAATTTTATGCCAGAGCTGAAGAAGCTAGGGTTTCAAAATTAGGGCAATATAACTGACCAGCCGGTGGCCCACTCCCACCCTTGTGCCAAATGGTTCTTGACACCAGAGAAAATCTAGCCCTACCATCGTCATACAGCTGATATTTTTTTTGAGCTTGCACGTGAAACACTTAGGATAGAATTTCTTCCTTTTCATTCTTGCTATATAATATCACCACCCTCAGCTTTTAGATAGCACTTTTCATCCATAGATGTCAAAATGCTTTACAAAGGAGCTATGCATCATCCCCACTTTATAGATGGGGAAACAGAAGGCACAGCAACTAAGTGATTTAATCAAGATCATCAAACAGACCAGTCAAATGGCCAGGAAAAGAACCCAAGTTTCCCAACTCCCAGTCCAATGCCCCATCTTGTGAGCCACACTGAATGGTAAGGAACAAACATCTGTAACTACATTAATGCAAAAAGAAAAGGAGTACTTGTGGCACCTTAGAGACTAACCAATTTATTTGAGCATGAGCTTTCGTGAGCTACAGCTCACTTCATCAGATGTATACCGTGGAAACTGCAGCAGACTTTATATACACACAGAGAATATGAAACAATACCTCCTCCCACCCCACTGTCCTGCTGGTAATAGCTTATCTAAAGTGATCAACAGGTGGGCCATTTCCAGCACAAATCCAGGTTTTCTCACCCTCCACCCCCACACACAAATTCATTCTCCTGCTGGTGCTAGCCCATCCAAAGTGACAACTCTTTACATAATCAAGTCGGGCTATTTCCTGCATAGATCCAGGTTTTCTCACATCCCCCCCACCCCCATACACACACAAACTCACTCTCCTGCTGGTAATAGCTCATCTAAACTGACCACTCTCCAAGTTTAAATCCAAGTTAAACCAGAACATCTGGGGGGGGGGGTAGGAAAAAACAAGAGGAAACAGGCTACCTTGCATAATGACTTAGCCACTCCCAGTCTCTATTTAAGCCTAAATTAATAGCATCCAATTTGCAAATGAATTCCAATTCAGCAGTTTCTCGCTGGAGTCTGGATTTGAAGTTTTTTTGTTTTAAGATAGCGACCTTCATGTCTGTGATTGCGTGACCAGAGAGATTGAAGTGTTCTCCGACTGGTTTATGAATGTTATAATTCTTGACATCTGATTTGTGTCCATTTATTCTTTTACGTAGAGACTGTCCAGTTTGACCAATGTACATGGCAGAGGGGCATTGCTGGCACATGATGGCATAGATCACATTGGTGGATGTGCAGGTGAACGAGCCTCTGATAGTGTGGCTGATGCGATTAGGCCCTGTGATGGTGTCCCCTGAATAGATATGTGGGCACAATTGGCAACGGGCTTTGTTGCAAGGATAAGTTCCTGGGTTAGTGGTTCTGTTGTGTGGTATGTGGTTGTTGGTGAGTATTTGCTTCAGGTTGCGGGGCTGTCTGTAGGCAAGGACTGGCCTGTCTCCCAAGACTTGTGAGAGTGTTGGGTCATCCTTTAGGATAGGTTGTAGATCCTTAATAATGCGTTGGAGGGGTTTTAGTTGGGGGCTGAAGGTGACCGCTAGTGGCGTTCTGTTATTTTCTTTGTTAGGCCTGTCCTGTAGTAGGTAACTTCTGGGAACTCTTCTGGCTCTATCAATCTGTTTCTTTACTTCTGCAGGTGGGTATTGTAGTTGTAAGAAAGCTTGACAGAGATCTTGTAGGTGTTTGTCTCTGTCTGAGGGGTTGGAGCAAATGCGGTTGTATCGCAGAGCTTGGCTGTAGACGATGGATCGTGTGGTGTGGTCAGGGTGAAAGCTGGAGGCATGCAGGTAGGAATAGCGGTCAGTAGGTTTCCGGTACAACCTATCCTAAAGGATGACCCAACACTCTCACAAGTCTTGGGAGACAGGCCAGTCCTTGCCTACAGACAGCCCCGCAACCTGAAGCAAATACTCACCAACAACCACATACCACACAACAGAACCACTAACCCAGGAACTTATCCTTGCAACAAAGCCCGTTGCCAATTGTGCCCACATATCTATTCAGGGGACACCATCACAGGGCCTAATAACATCAGCCACACTATCAGAGGCTCGTTCACCTGCACATCCACCAATGTGATATATGCCATCATGTGCCAGCAATGCCCCTCTGCCATGTACATTGGTCAAACTGGACAGTCTCTACGTAAAAGAATAAATGGACACAAATCAGATGTCAAGAATTATAACATTCATAAACCAGTCGGAGAACACTTCAATCTCTCTGGTCACGCAATCACAGACATGAAGGTCGCTATCTTAAAACAAAAAAACTTCAAATCCAGACTCCAGCGAGAAACTGCTGAATTGGTATTCATTTGCAAATTGGATACTATTAATTTAGGCTTAAATAGAGACTGGGAGTGGCTAAGTCATTATGCAAGGTAGCCTGTTTCCTCTTGTTTTTTCCTACCCCCCCCCCCCCCCCCAGATGTTCTGGTTTAACTTGGATTTAAACTTGGAGAGTGGTCAGTTTAGATGAGCTATTACCAGCAGGAGAGTGAGTTTGTGTGTGTATGGGGGTGGGGGGGATGTGAGAAAACCTGGATCTATGCAGGAAATAGCCCGACTTGATTATGTAAAGAGTTGTCACTTTGGATGGGCTAGCACCAGCAGGAGAGTGAATTTGTGTGGGGGGGTGGAGGGTGAGAAAACCTGGATTTGTGCTGGAAATGGCCCACCTGTTGATCACTTTAGATAAGCTATTACCAGCAGGACAGTGGGGTGGGAGGAGGTATTGTTTCATATTCTCTGTGTGTATATAAAGTCTGCTGCAGTTTCCACGGTATACATCTGATGAAGTGAGCTGTAGCTCACGAAAGCTCATGCTCAAATAAATTGGTTAGTCTCTAAGGTGCCACAAGTACTCCTTTTCTTTTTGCGAATACAGACTAACACGGCTGTTCCTCTGAAACCTACATTAATGCAAAAGACTTACTAGAAATGCTTAACAAGTTTGTAATGCCACAGAATCTGAAGTCAATACCTTGAAAGTGCTGCCCTCACTTAGAATCATGCAGTTTCCACTTATTTAATTAGCTCAAGATCTTAAATATAAGGAAGTACATACACATCTATGTAACTTTTAATATCATAAGATATGAAAATGTTGGAGGAACTGGCTAATGTTAATACTCTGTAGTTGGACATATTTATTCCTGCATTTCCATTATAAGCTATTTTCAGGAGCATATTACTTTAGCCTAACTAGTCACTCTAAGATAAAACATAGCATACAAAGGTTCACCTCACAAGCAAACTTTTATTTTGTTTGTACTCAAATTTAGTTTAGGTTGTTTTGGCAAATAAGGATTACATTCAAAACTTAAAAATAAATTTTGAGCAATAGGCACATTTTGCCTTACAACACAGTAACTCCAAAAATCTTCACCTCAAAATGGAACACTGTATAAACAATTCACTATTTGGGGGAAAGTAAAAATTCCAGAGAAGCGTCATTTAATTAACAAGTTACTGTAAATGCATAGTAACTATTTTTTTACCAAAAGTTCCATATAGATTATTTGTAGGTTTGGCTTGTTAGTAGAACGATTATTATACAAATGAAACCTGCATGAGCTTTGACCCTAAATGGTCTCAGTAAATAATCTAACACTACAATATTGATATTAAACAATGTTGGAAACCAAAACATGTACCCTAAATAAAATTGCTTTAAACATATACTGAAGTAAACAACGTATTTGTGGGTCTGATATAAAGTACACAGACATTGAAAGTAAAGACTGAAACCCAACTTAAACGTTCTTTTGTGGTTGTACTATTTAATAAGTTAGAGAGAGATACTCAGTAAAAGTTTACCTTACTTCAGCTGGTGTATTTTGGGAATATGGATTTGCAGAACAAGCCAAAATCCTAATTACAGCCCCAGGGTGATATGTTTCCAGAACATGCACTGCTGTGGGATAAACTGGCTCCTCAAAAGCAAGCTCTACGTAGTCCTGGCTATAGAAGTTAGGTGGAGTCCTCTTGAATGGCAACTGGGCACTAGGACACTGATTCCACCAAGTTCCATAAGTTCGAAACACAGCAGTCTGAGTGAAGTCACCAGAACTGGGGTACACATTTGGAATACCTGCCAAATTCCACATGGTGTAGGACATGCTGTTTTCACTACCGTAATGAGAACTGAAATCCAACACTTCTTTGGCATACTGGACTACTTCAACATTGATAGGTAAGGCTCGGCTGTTTGATTCAATAGCTCTCCGGCTGTTCATCATTTCTCCCCTTGTAGCTGTCCTGGCTCGGCGCCGAAGGCAGATATAGTAAAACATGCTGAGAACTGTTAACATGGGAAACACCGGTGACATCTAGATATGAATTATGAAGCTGCAAAAGGTCAGGCGTCCTATATAAGGTGCATTAACTCTTTGGGGGATGTTTCAAAAAAACAGCTGAATAAAACAGAATGGCTAAACATGGTCAACACAGAAAATTTTTCCAGTAGGAAACCTATTTGCTTTTACTCACTCTAATTTGTCATCTTAAGACAACGCTGTCATTAAAAATCTAAAATCAAGTGGCTTCTATAGGGCCACTGAATAAAAAAAAGGCCGTTTTCTGGAAGTTAAATTGAGCCAAAAACTAAACTAACTATTTTCCATGTTAGATAACCAGCCTGCAGTAATAACAAAAATGTTGTTTTTAATGTAAAACTTTCAGCACTACCCTTTCATGTTGTCCGTGAGAGCATGCACCCCTGATATAAAAGTCAGTGGACTCCAAAATGATGTTCATTGGAGTCCATTAATAATATCAGCTGGATGTCTTCTATACAGCCATGACACAAGGTAGGCGTTCAGGGTTCTGTGACTGTGTCAGAAGCAGAAGTCTATATGCACGGTGCTTTACATCTGAAAAAAGAAAACATTTTGGTTCATATATTTACTGTATTAGATTCAAAATTTGCTAAACCTGGACACTGTAGCCATGAAAACTATTTCTAACTAGAACAAATATAAAAACAAAAAACAAGTATAATACCTACATAGTCTAATCTATCAGACAAAACCACATTTCAGCAGTTATACTAGAGCGTACTTTATGTAAACTGTATGCTTATTCTGGATTACTTTCTAATCAAATAAGATATATCCTAGAAAAGTAAGCTTTAACAAGAGAGCATGAGATGAAGAGAAAACACTGAACTAGCACACAAGAACCATAAAGTTAAGGTGACTAAAATCTGACAATAACTAAAAAAGTGGAGTACGTTTTCACTGTCCAGACTGACTGGCATGCAAAAAGTAAACAATTAGTATAATTGGTAGAAGAGTTCGGTTTTAAAAGTTCTTCAGGTAAAGAAATTTGTTTGAAAACATGTAATTTTTAATCTGTCAGTTTAACGAAACGGGTATGTCCATATTAGATTTCCTACAAATAAAGATTATCTTACAAACCCAACGGCAAAGTTAGCAGGCACAAAACAACTATAAGGCAAAAACTGTTAGATTTACCAATATAATCAGTCTTCTATTAGTAACAAAATATTTCCTTACAGCTTATCAAGAAGCAAGACATACCAAAATTAATCTCCCCACCATGATAAAAAAAAATACAACTAACTTTGTTGCTCCACTGAAATCTTGTTTAACTGTTGCTCACTGGCTTCAGTGGTAAAGAGAGAAGAGCAGTGCTGGAGTCTGGAGAAAGGATGACTAAGCATCTCCTAAAATAGATGAAGTGTTTCTGCAGCAGACATTTACTGGGCGTGTACTGTATTAATCACTGGGGCGTACAGTGGCTGCACTTCTACTTCAGGACAAACACTAACAAATCATTAACCTAATGCCTCTGCTGTTCTAGCAGGCCAACTGCACATTTACCATTTGAAATAAGTCGCAGTTGGGACAATACTTTGTTTAGTCAGACAACCTTTGTTTTTCTGGTGTAACTCACTTCACCCCAACTTCAAAAACAAACCACCAAAACAACCCAAAAAATCAACACCGATACACATATGGGTAGCATCCACTGAGCCCCCTTTTTGTCAGAATACTATTAGCAATTGACAGTGCAGGTTTCATAAGATAAAGGCAGGCTGCAGCCTCCACTCCTATATTTGACAGTGAGAAAACATATGTTGAGGAACTGTTCACTCTTTCTTTCTTATTCCTCCTCCTACAATTTTTGTTGGTCTAGTTTCTGTCCTTAAAATCAGATTTTATACCAGCTATCGCAACTTGAACTACATTTGGCACCTACCACAGCGGGGAAAACATAAGAAGTTGTCTTGGCTCAGCCTTGAGCTCTGCAGGGAAGCCAAAGCCAAACAAAAAAGGTGTTCTAAAGGCCCTGGCCTTTGGAAGAGACATGGGAAGGAAGCAACAAGTTGCTGTTCTCTCTATTTCAACTGGGGCGAATTAAAAGTTTAACTGAAGACTAGGACTATGTAAAAAAACCACTTCTTTTGGATTCTTTTCTCCTGATCTAACATGCCTTATTTAAAGATTAAAAAAGGAAATAAGTGCTAGAATAGATCATCAGATCTGCACCCTTCATTCCTCCACAAGCCTCACCTGTGTGGCGCAGCACCCCAAGGGAAAGGAAAACACTTTACAAGATGCCTCCGATGAGGAAACGTCATTAAAAAAAACAGATTTTTTATTTTTAAAATCATTAGAATTCAGGTGCAAATTCCAAAATTTGATTCTAACTAGTGTTTTGTGTGTTACTTCTGACAAATTCCACCTCCTCCCCCCCCCCCCGATATTTTGTTTCTAGTTTTAAAGCGGAAGCAGGAAGTTGCAATGAGATTCAGCTAGCTGTGAGTGTAATACCACTGTATAGGATCCTATACCATACCCAATTTCCCCAGCAGTTTGCAAATCATCACCCCAGTTCTATATTCACTGCTCCTTGGAAAACTGTAGATTGGGAATTGAGAAGACTATGAACCAGTGCCCATAAATTATTTGAAAAATCAGTGAACATAATGGATAATGACACACTAGTTCTAGGCACTGGCATGAAAAAAATCAGCTGTTCGTTTTTTATGCTAAGTTCATATTCCACAAAAAATTAAGCATATTTTAAAAGTGTCTTTGTACATCTATTATTTTTATATTAGTTATAGCGCCTAGCAGCCCTAGTCATGAACCACTGTGTTAGGCACTACGTGTTACTGTTCCGTACCAAAACATTTTGTAACTTTGCAGATTAAAGTTTAAGGATTTATTATTTGTCTGCAAAATGGTCAACTGAGGTCTTTAAAAATCAGTTTTTCTATTCGATAGTCCTAATTTCAAGGGCTCTGTTTTTTATTAAGTATAAGCAAAGGTAATTTATTAATTGGACAAACCGTTAGACACTTTTTTTTTTTTTGGTAAATAAAGTAGGACGACAAATGCTCAGTCCTTATCCCAACGTGGTTTCATCACTGAGGGGTGCAGGCTACTAGAGACAGCATACAGACAGAAGGCCAAAATAGATGAAAGAAAGACAGAAAGATTTTCAATGGACCATCAGAGAAACAACCATTTAAAAGTTTTCAAAAGACTTAGAGTATACCTACATTGCAACTAGATGTGTGACTGCGGCATGTGCAGACATATGGCAGCTAGCTTTAACAGAGATAGTGCAAGTACCAAGAGCAGTGAAACTGCCACAGCATGAGCTTCAGTGCAAACTATACAGTAACTTCTCACTTAACTTTGTAGTTATGTTCTTGAAAAATTAGACTAAGCAAAACAATGTTAAGCAAATCTAATTTCCCCATAAGAATTAATGTAAACAGGGTGGGTTAGTTCCAGGCAAATTTTTTTCACCAGACAAAAGACATTATATATATATATATATATATACACACACACACACAGTACAAATTTTAAACAATTTTAAACAAATAACGTCACACTGTATTCAGCAATGATGATTGTGAAGCTTGGTTGAGGAGGTGGAATCAGAGGGTGGATCGTCCAGCTGCTCCTCTTGCTGAACTTTCCCAACTCAAAAAAACACATCTAGAGATTGTTGTTTTGCTTTCCTTTTTTTTTCTTGGTAAATGTCTTTACAGCAATTCATTACATAACCAATTCTCCTAACCACTTTGGAGATGCGTTCCCTGTTAGGATGGTCATCACTAAGGATTTGTAAACCAGCTTCAATCATTTGGAAAGCTTCAGAAAGATGTTTGGCAGTCAAATTTCAATGAGTTGGTTCTTCTTTTACTTCTTGGCTGTCTTCTTCCATTGCTCTCATCACCTCTAGTTGCATCAGATCTTCATTGGTTAGCTCTTCTCCATGTGATTGCAGAAGTTGTGTAACACGGGCTTTTTCCACTTCATCAAAACCTGTTTTCTTGGCCAAGCTGAGGATATCTTTCTTCATAGCAGGGACAACATCTTTAAATCCTTTAAAGTCATCGACACAGTCAGGCCACAACTTCCCCCACACACCATTCATGCATGCTTCAGTGACTTCAGCCCAGGACTCACCGATGTTAACGATGCACTTGCGGATGTTGTAGTCACACCAAAATTGCTGAATCATAGGCTTGCCTTCCCCATCGGTGCCTCTGATGAGCTGGTCAGGAGTACACCGTAAGTAATATGCCTTAAATGCAGCAATGGCTCCTTGGTCCATGGGTTGGATGAGTGACGTTAGGTTCCAGAAAGACAACTTTGACTTTTTCCACACTGGTTGTCCAGGTTGATTGGATGAGCCAGTGCATTATCAATAAGTAAGAAAATCTTAAAATCAAGATTTTCCTTGGCACAGTATTCCTTCCATGTATACCTTCTAGGTGGTAATGCTGCTGGAGACATGAAGTGACCATGAGTTGGTTGAGTTCAGGATCCTGACGCAGGGAAGAAAGGTAAGCAGCAGGATACGGACCCTGGATTTCAGGAAAGCAGACTTCGACTCCCTCAGGGAACGGATGGCGAGGATCCCCTGGGGGACTAACTTGAAGGGGAAAGGAGTCCAGGAGAGCTGGCTGTATTTCAAGGAATCCCTGTTCAGGTTACAGGGACAAACCATCCCGATGAGTCGAAAGAATAGTAAATATGGCAGGCGACCAGCTTGGCTTAATGGTGAAATCCTAGCGGATCTTAAACATAAAAAAGAAGCTTACAAGAAGTGGAAGGTTGGACATATGACCAGGGAAGAGTATAAAAATATTGCTCGGGCATGTAGGAATGATATCAGAAGGGCCAAATCGCACCTGGAGCTGCAGCTAGCGAGAGATGTTAAGAGTAACAAGAAGGGTTTCTTCAGGTATTTTGGCAACAAGAAGAAAGCCAAGGAAAGTGTGGGCCCCTTACTGAATGAGGGAGACAACCTAGTGACAGAGGATGTGGAAAAAGCTAATGTACTCAATGCTTTTTTTGCCTCTGTTTTCACTAACAAGGTCAGCTCCCAGACTGCTGCACTGGGCATCACAAAATGGGGAAGAGATGGCCAGCCCTCTGTGGAGATAGAGGTGGTTAGGGACTATTTAGAAAAGCTGGACGTGCACAAGTCCATGGGGCCGGACAAGTTGCATCCGAGAGTGCTGAAGCAATTGGCGGCTGTGATTGCAGAGCCATTGGCCATTATCTTTGAAAACTTGTGGCGAACGGGGGAAGTCCCGGATGACTGGAAAAAGGCTAATGTAGTGCCAATCTTTAAAAAAGGGAAGAAGGAGGATCCTGGGAACTACAGGCCAGTCAGCCTCACCTCAGTCCCTGGAAAAATCATGGAGCAGGTCCTCAAAGAATCAATCCTGAAGCACTTGCATGAGAGGAAAGTGATCAGGAACAGCCAGCATGGATTCACCAAGGGAAGGTCATGCCTGACTAATCTAATCGCCTTTTATGATGAGATTACTGGTTCTGTGGATGAAGGGAAAGCAGTGGATGTATTGTTTCTTGAC